GCAACTATCATATAAAATTCCAGTTGCACATCTCCACTTCACCCACCCAGCTTTTATTCTGTGTACAACATCTTTCTCAATCTCTCCATTTTCCTAGATTATCGACCCAAAATATTGAAAGTACAATATTTTTTGTACTTCCAGACTATCAATCTTAACTATTTCCTCATCTCTACGCCTATTATTGCTAAATTTGCACTCCATATGCTCTGTCTTAGTTCGACTAATTTTAAAACCTTTGGATTCCAAGGTATCCCTCCAAAATTCTTTGTGTTGATGCCATTTCGGGTCTCATCAATTAAAACTATGTCATCTGCAAACAACATGTACCACAATACCTCATCCTGTACGTGCCTAGTTAAGTCGTCCAAAACTAAGACAAAGAGGTACAGACTCAATGTTGACCCTTGATGTAGACCTATTGTCTCAGACAACTCACTCGTCTCTCCACTAGTTATTCGTACACTAGTAACCGTTACATTGTACATATCTCTCACCAAGTTGATGTAATGTCTAGAGACGTTTTTTTATTTTTTCAACTCCCGCCAAATCAAATATCGAAGTACTCTATCATAAGTTTTTTCTAGATCAATAAAGACCACGTGGATGTCTCTTCCCTTCGTCCTCAACTTCTCAATTAGTTGTTTAAGTTGAAAAATAGCCTTAGTTGTTTACCCTCCCGGCATAAAACCAAATTGGTTTTCAGATACACTTATTTCATTCCTTAATCATTGCTCAATAACTCTTTTCCAAAGCTTCATAGTATGGCTCATAAGCTTGATCTCTTATTACTATACACTAGGACTTAAAATTAATATTCTTACGTATATAAACATTTTGAGGTTGAAATGCTAAATTGGTAGTTTTCTTTGGCGCAACACATTTCAGGTTAGGTTGACACCTTGTCTAAATCTACTTACCCAAAAAGAAAAACACCTTATATAAACCTTCTTCATAAAAGAAAGATGCATACCGATTTGGCAGCAAAGAGAACTATGACCATCAACCATGCTTATTATATGGGAGAACACAAGATTCTAAGTGTTTTTGGTAGGGCTGGCAACAAGCCCAGCCCAGGCCGATCACTACTCCCTAGAGGGCTGGCCTAGGCCTAGCCCAGCTTTGACCAGGCCAAAGAGGCTGGGCCCTAGCACTATCAGGGCTAGGCCAGGCAAGAACAAATAAAAAAGATATAAGGAAAAGTAAAGAAAATGAAAGCTGGGCTGGCCTTGGGCCACATTTCGTAGCCCACATCCTAGTTTTTTTAGGGCCGGGCCGACCGGGCTGGGCTGGGGCACTTAGCCCATTGCCCCATTTAGTTTTTGGAAAGATAATTCTTTGGGTCGCACCCTAGTCTAGGAAAAAGTGGCTTGAAAAATAAAATACTCTTTTGTGTTCTATCTACCGTTTCTCCTTGGAGCCTCCCATTGAGCCAAGTTTTGGTAAAATATGAAGAAATTAATGGAAGACAACCTGAAATGGTCGAAAGGAAACGTGGGTCAATTTGTTGTTGTCCTTCGTTAAGGCTCACTCCTATGGTTGATACATTACCTATTAATTCTTGAAGACAAAGATGTGGGTTTTTGCATAGCTACATGTCAACAAAGGAGTGGACGGTGAGGGGAAGAGGACAGGGGACCACCGAGTATGGCTGTACACACTTAGAGAGAGAGAGAGAGAGAGAGAGAGAGATCTTGGATAATGTGGCCTTTTTTTTTGTTTTGGGGAAGAGAGATTGGATAATGAGGGTGAAGACCTGTAGTTTTGAGATTAATGGTTACAATTTATACTTAAGCTTAAGATGGCCTTGGAAAATGTGGGTCAGAACCTTCAGGTTTAAGATTGAAGTTTGGAGTTTAGCTTAAGATGGTAATTACAAGATTGGGAATCATAAATTTCAACCATTGTCGTGATGCTCTAATGTGCTAAGTACGTTTGCATTATTCTGTTTGCAAGCTTTTATAAAGTAAATTTGACATGGGAAAGTACTTTGTAGGGCCGTGGTTTTATAAAGCTACATTTAAATCTCATGAAAAAATGTAGACCATGTTGAAAGGATGGCGCACCTTCAAATAATCGAAAGATGTTATTTGAGTATTGGAAATCTTTGTAATGGCATGAAAATTTATTTTCATATCTGATTATACAATCTAAAGCTTCAAAAATAGTGTAGATCAAGCAGTGAATACTTGAAAACCATGACAGTTGACCGTTCGAAAAATGCATTACAAGATGCACTATTTTCAATATTTGAAATTCATTTTTCTCATGTCCATACATCTTGAGGTCGAGATAATCAAATTGAAAGTTTTTAAGCATCGAAACAATCATTTGTAGTAAATTTTTGAGGTGGATCTTAATTTGATTGTTTTGGGCCTTACCCTTGTATAAACTTTTCCCGTGTTGAAAAGCCTAGTCACTTTTCCAACCTCGGGTGTGAAAAAATAAGATTTTAACACTAACATTAATCTATTTTGCAAAAATTCTTAAACACTGTTTGAACCTACAAAAATCTAAGCTATTGGATAATACCATTTGTCCATTAATTATGTGAAAAGATTAGGAGCAATGTGTATTTAATAGTTACTCCCTCAGGGTAAACCTCATGTTAGAGATTGTCATTATTATTATTATTCTTATTATTATTATTATTATTATAATTATAAAATAATAATAATAATAATGGCATGCGGGTCATTTTACTAATGACAACTAAAGGATTATATTAGGGTATACATACATGTGAGCATTTACTAAATGTATTAACATTTTGGACACTAATTACATTTGTTTTGTAGTATAATTTTTTTTTGAACAAGGGTATTCTTTGTCATTAAAAGGGGTAGAATAGATATTTTTTATTATGTCATTTAATGTTTAATGTGGGTGATGTCATACACATGTAGATGATGCCATCATCCACTATAATTAATAAATGCTCTTCTTTCCATCATAATATTTTACTTTGTCTTTAAATAATTATCGAAAATACCCATAGACAAAAAGTTACATTAGAGGGTAATGATATTAAATGTCTAAAATTATTGAGTACATTTAGTAAAAGAAAATTGTTTCATGCGGCTGGACCGCATGACTACATATACAGTCCAAAAAGTATAAAACATCCATTTTAAAGATGTATGCAAGCAGATGTTCCATCAAAAAACAATAGAAACTGACGGTCCAAATGTTTTATTACTAGAATTATTATTGCTAGTTTTTAAAATTTACTTATTTTTTCATATTCATTATCTCCATGTTAACGATTAGATGTCCCAAAAAATGAAGTAAAAAAATCCATCTCAAAAATAGAATTATTAATGGGCCCGCATTTCTACATATGCGGGCTTGGCCGCATAAAAACCGGGTCCTTTAGTAAAATGCTAACATGTATATGTACCATAACATAATCTTTTACTAAGCAGGTAATAACAAATTTAGCTAATGGTAATTTTCTAAACTTTTAAATCCAATATTTTATTTATGATTGAAAAATGTCCTATTTTTAACCAAGTTTTCAATAGTTGACCTTATATTTTTTCTGTTTTCATTATTTTTTAAATTTAATAAAAACAAAAAGTCTGACTCGCCGATTCCAGCAACAGTCGGGTCTTGATAACACTGACCCAAACTGTCAAAGGTGTGAGATGTAAAATCAAACACCTGCCTTTGTATCATTTCATCCGTACATTGGAACCTCAACACCATTCTTAGTAAGAAAACTTTGAATTTCTAATGTGGTGTTTCATTTAATAAAAGGAAAAGCTAATATAAGGTTGCAACATTAAAATAGCACCTAAAAATTCCATCTTGAAAGGCTGTTTAGAAATTGGAAAATCCTCTAAGTGGTCGTTTGAATATGAAAAAGAAAAAGAAAAAAAAGATTTCGAGTCCCAAAAATAGGGTATCTTGCAACACATTATCTAAACCATCTATTGTTAAGATTTTTATATGTTTTTATATATATTTATTTTATTTGAACCATTTTTTGGATCTAAAATGTTATAATTAGAGATGTAAATGTAGGGGAGGCAATGGACTTGGACCTAACCTAGGTCTAGGTATGGGTCCAAGAATTGGACCTGACGGCTCGGGTCCAGGCCCATGCGGACCCGACCCGAATAATGTTATTATATAAATAATATTTAACATATAATATTTTAATAATATTTAGTTAGTATTTAAATAAATATAACTATATATTTTTAATTATAGTATTCAAATAAGGGTGCGGTCTGTATAGAGCCGAGGCTCTAACCAATCAAAGTAAAGCACACCTTCAAATAGTGTCGAGAAATGTGGTTTCAATGTTGAAATCTTTGTAACAGGCTTAAAGTATATTTTCATCTTTAATTATAAAATTTAAAGCTTCAAAAATAGTGTAGATGGAGCAAATCTATGAAAACTTAAAAATCTTGAAAATTGACGGTTCAAACATGCGTTGTAAGATGCACTATTTCGAACTATCAATGCGTTGTAAGATGCACAATTTCCAAACTTGAAATCCATTTTTTTCTCATGTCCATGCTTCTTAATGTCCAGATGATCAATTTGAGGACATTTGGACATCAAAACAACCTCTTGTA